TATGCAACGACCTGGCCGTCCTCGGAAATACTAAAACTGGAATGTACAAGCTTGACTTAAAGCTTATACTTACTGATTGCATGACTTGAGAATCCAGTAATTTAATACTGAATAAAAGACTTGATCTGAACTGAAGAGGCATCAATTCACAATTAAGTGAATTGTAGAATACTACTGACTGAGAATGGACACTTTTCTGAAAGAATGTGTTCCACTGATAAGACATGATCTCAAAAACAAACTCTGAAGTGTATTGGTCATCATCTCCTGGCTGCTTGCGGATCTCCAATCGGAATGCTGGTGGTGTAGACTCCTGTCGTTGGTACACATGGAAGATTCCAGAGATATACACATATGCACAAATGAGGATAACTAGCTATATTGGTCCTTACCTTTCATGAATGTCTGCTCGACAACGCGGCACATCGTTCGCGGCACATTGTATTGCGGCACACCTGCTCCTCATCAAGTGAGTGCGGCACGCCTGCATACAGCACCTGGCGAACATTGCACCTGCGTCATCGTCGAAATCTGATCGTATCTATACCTCAAGCTAGTAACCTCAATGTACTTTTTTTTTATACTAACTCTCTGTAATCTCCCAGTGTACTGAGACTCAAGCATGGCATCTTTGAATGGAAGGCGTCGGTTTGTCATCATGGCACGATCCGTTGCTGTCGATTGGCCCTTCTTCGTCGCGGCGAATGTCAACCTGTGGTACCTGCAACTTTTTACTCCCTCCGAGGTTAAACTTAACCTCAAGAAGAAGTCCATCATGAATGAATATCTCCCACGGTTTCTCAGATTCATCAGAATTTGAGAATTGGGGTGCTGACATACTGAAAATGATGGATAAGTCTTGTCTTATTAGACAAACTATCCTCGATCTTAACATGACTGGCCTGAATACTCTCATGACTGAATAACCATGACTTGACTCTCACATGACTGAACCATCTTTATCTGAACTCTGAAACTATCCCGAGACAACTAAATAGTCGCTTCCAGATTGAAAACATGATATTTACTGACTTACTTGACTTGATAAGGTGCGACTTCAAGTTTCCAGGTAAATCTGGACTAATGGTCTGTATGTCAGACCGCCACATTTTACCCGGCTGAACAACTATTATACGTCGACCTTACATCATGAACATAAACTGTAAATCGTGAACCTGAACTCTGTACTATATAGGGCTGCTCCAGTATCAACTGGTCCCGCAAGTACAAAGTAATTAGCTGTTCTTGATTTCTGAAAGTCATAACTTAAAATATCATGACTGATAAAATATCTGACTTGACTGACTTGAAAGGTTGTTATTACCTGAAATCTTACTGATTCGGCCCCAGCTTCAAGCCTCCATGGTATACCCGGCTGGTTGGCTCTTATTTCAAGCCTCCATGGTAACCCGGACTATTGACTCTTATACACTGGAAACCGTTACCTTAACAATGACTTGAGAATTATAACAACCTTTAACATGAAAATTCTTGCCTTGAACATGACTTACTGATCTGACTTAGGAACTTTGAGTCTATTCCTCGAATTAAATCAAGGAATTTCTCCCTGGAGTCTGCCAATTGATTGACAAAATGGCAGTTCTCGATAAAAATTTATGAGAAACATGATTCTTAAGATTTGTTTAGCACAATGCTTACAAATCTTCTGACAAGTTACTAACTTGGCTTGAATAAATCTAGAATTGAATCTAGAGTTCTTAAACTGAATCCTTTTCTAAGGTTCTGAATCCACTTGCCCATGATACGGGATTTCCCCGCCCGGAGAATTCCTCAACATGATAGTCGCGGAACTGTGCAACTACTGTGGCTTGAGTAAGAGTCGGGTAATCGGATTCCCTACGGGGCGACTTCTGAACGTTGAGAAAGTTTAACATTACTGAATACGTGATAGCATTCTGACTGATTACTAAGGCGCACAGATCTCTTCACGTGTCGCCAAAAGTGGCCGATAAATACTGATGTGAATCCTGAAGAACTCTAGAGTCATATAGGAAGATTCTAATGTCTAGAGTCATATCTGAATGCCCTGAATTCTAGAGTCATGTCTGAACTCTAAAGTCTGAACCTTATTCAAGCATCTTAACTAAAGTCCTTATCCTTAGTTCTGAGCATAGACAAAGTAATATGTTTATAACTGAAAAACTGAATCAGCACTTACCTGTCGTCGGCGGGGCGTGAGCATGACGGTTCAGGTTTTTCTGAAAAATACTGACTGAAAACTTATCAGAGACGCAGAAACGTGCTCTGATACAAATTGTAACACCCCTCCTTACTGTAAAATCAGAGTAGCGCTAATTTCGCAAAGTTATAAAAAATAAAAATAAAACCTTTTTACTTCGCGAAAACTGATTCGGGGTGCTACCTTTTAAAATCCTTACTTAACTTAGAAAACCGTTGTTTTAACTTTAATAAAAACGTCCGGTTACTGAAATCATGAGTTTCTAAAAAGTTCGTCAAAACCATCAAACACCATCAAAAGTCATCAAAATATAAGCGGAAGCGTAAGTCATAATCATATTTATACAGTCCAAAATATATATAAATATTCTGAAGTCCCGTCACGTCACGTCACGCTCCCGGCCCGACATCCTGACCTGAAAAACATGATAAAACTGGGAGTGAGCACTATGGCACTGTGCTCCGTGGAAACTCATGCTAATGTAAAACATTGTAAATAATAACAATATCATGAACTAAGCTTATATAACTGAACTGAAACTGATATCTGATACCGGTCTGAACTCACGACATAGGTCACGTAACTGATAACTGAAATCTGTCGGCACAAACTAATACCGCAATCTCCCGGCACAAACTAATACCGGACCATGTGCACACTCTAGTGGTTAGATTAGGCCACTAGAACCCAGAATGAACCAGCGACCATTCCGAGCGGATACTGAATATACATACCTCGAACATGGTAGCGTAATTATAAACAATGTAGTACTTAGTCTGAGTCCCCACCTGAACTGCTGAACTGAAA